GAGATATCTTTTTTTCTTTTCTAGTGGGAAACAATATAGTGTGAGCGATATATCTCTCTCTCTCTTGATAAATATCAAAAGAGTGTGTGCAGGAGCACACATTTCTATTCTCGAAATTTTTCTTAAGATCTCTATTTTGTTTTTTCACTCGTGATTTTACTCTATATATATATATATATATATATATATATATATATATATATATATATATATATATATATATATATATATATATATATATATATATATATATATATATATATATATATATATATATATATATATATATATATATATATATATATATATATATATATATATATATATATATATATATATATATATATATTTGTTTCGTTTGTAATTGTTAGTAAATATATCGGTAAATTTGATTTTGTTACAGGTGCTGAAAAGTGTACGAAAAGAAGTATTAAAAGGGTGTAGAGTGGTGTTTATTAGTGGTAAAATCAGCACTTATTCGTTACGGTTAAGGAAAATGGCGGAGGAATTGGGTGCTGAATGGTGCGATGAGACAGAGGCATGTGTTACACATGTGGTTTCTATTGATTTACGAAATGATAAATCGATTGGGCCGCGAACGAGAAGAAGTTCTTGGTGAATCCGAACTGGATAGCAGCGCCCAATCATATGTGCCAAAAGCAGCCCGAAGAAAATTTCCCCGTTCGTCCACCAACAAAGAATTTTTTTTCACTCATTTTTTTAGTGTTTAGAGATCCCTAATCAGACATTTACTAGATGAAAATAATTTCAGTTTTTTCGTATTTCGTTTGTCACGAAGAAGGAAGAAATGAATAAACAAAAATGGCAAATTCGTATATCGTTGTTTCTATTGTTACTAAAACTTTTGCAGCTTCAGATTTCTAGAGTCTATTTGAGTTCTTGTAAATATATTAATTTATCGAGCTGTACATGAGTCGAGACCGATTAAAAATATTATATAAATAAAGTCATTAATAAATAAATAAAAATATTAAAATTAAACCGAAAAGGGTTCAAGCAACTATGCAACACACAATATTTCAAGGAATAAAGCAGCATAAGGAGATGCAATTCATATCCATTAAAACCACGAAAAAACAATTATCGTACCGGAAGGAAAAGATTGATAACCTGAATAGAAGCTACAATATGAAGATCCCTTAGAAATAAATAGTCACAACAATTAAGGGTACTATTTATAAATATTCCGAGAAAAAAAAAAAGAGAACAATTTATAGCCAGTTCTCACTAAGCAAGTCTTGATGTAGTGAAAGCAAAACAAAGAAGTAATAAAACCTCGTTTGGTTCGTTTTTCTCTCAAATCTTCAAAGCGGTAGTCCATGTACCTTGAACACTAGGATGCTTAGCCACATGCCTTGTCTTCAACTTCAACACTTTCCTCCCCTGTGAGTTTCTTAGCCTTGTTGCACATTGGAGTACTTCCTCGGGAGTCGTGTTCTTCACACAGACAACTCGCTCGTTTTTGTTTTCTGCATAATAAATAAATAAATATATCAATACATGAATTCGCGGGTCATCTTTATAAACAAGAAATGTTTGCTTGGAAGTTGAACGCTTATGCTCCTCGTTTGGCATCAAAAAGTGACAAAAATAAATAAAAGTGTATCAATCTGAAAGTAACGAGCATCCTGGTTTGTTTATAAAGCATCGTGTAATTGATAATCTCCATTCACCAAACTCGAGTAAACTATTATTTCATTACAGTTACCTCAGAAATGTATCCATTGCAAGCTTTACATTATGACCAAGAAAACGGATTAAATTCAGGTTTCTTATATTATAAGCCATGACAAAGATCAACGAAACGACATACCATCGTACTTCCTATATTTCTCGACCTCTTCGAAAATCGAAACAATATCAGCTCGCAGCATGTTTTATAGACTCTTACCGCCGGACAAACAGGTGTACAAGTTCCATTTTCATTATAAATTAAAACATCTATGACAAAGAGGTCAACAAATTCGTATGATAAATTATCCAAATAGTAGCAGAAAATTATCGAGAGAGAGAAATCTTACTGTAAAATCCCTTTAGAAAGGGATGATAACCACGGTTGAGTTCAGTGACCACCTCAAGCTGTGGATTCTTCTCCACAAAAGCTGGGAGATGCGACTCCATAAATGCCCTAAACCAAAGCCAAATACACAAAAATAGTTAGCCTTCTTTGTAAAAACAATTGCTACTGAATCACTCAAGACAATTAACATGAAGAAGAAGAAGAAAAAGAAACTTAATTGTTTTATCAAAACTCTTTCACAGTATTATGTAAATACAGCCGCCACATAATATGACGAGAGAAAAGGGCTTTCGTAAGATAGATCCATGTGCCTATAACTAAACTACGTGCTTCCTATTACCTATTAAACTCTCGTTACCTTTGGCCATAATTATAATTCTATGGCTTCATATTAACTATAACTTTCCAATATTTCCATAGGACTCAATAGTATAACAAACAAAATAAACAATGAGATTCTTTAACAAAATGAAAAATCACAAGTGTGCTTATGTCGCGTTTTCAGCATAATTGTTCCGAAAGAGAGAGGTGGAGCATGCAAGAACACAGTCGTAGCATCAGAATAGTACACTAGACAGTTGAAACATGTTTATGAGATAGCATACGTAAATCCCCCGTAAACTTCATATATCATTTGCATAGTCTATTCATTGAGAAATCGAGAACCTCTATGTATCAAGTATGGAGCTACGATTAGAAATCCCCTCCTATATAAATATTAAAGCAAAATGCAGCGGATACTTCGAGCAACAAACTGTTAAAAAGCGCCCCAACGATACACACATCTCCACCTAACACTCACAACTTAAAAAAAAAACAATCTGTTTGGAATCGTGCCGCATTTGTATGAATGTGAAACAATTAAAAACCCTAATCAGTTATCAGCTTATATTCTTCCAACACTAAAAAATAATAATTGGAGATAATTCGTAAGAGAACTTATTACTCCAAAAATCGCGAACATATTCTGCTGATTCCCACTCGATTCCACATATCAAAATTCACAAGGAATTAAAAAAAAATAAAAAAAACAAAAAAAAAAAAAAAAAAAAAATCGTTCGTATTTCTTTGAAAAAATTAGGTCATTCAGAAATCAAAAGTACAGAACGCCCGTATTCCCAAATTAAAAATTAACACATCAAATGAAACTTTGGAATTCAAAGGAAATCAGATTCAAGGAAGGGGGAAAAAAAAAGAGGGAGCAAAATGGTAAACCTGATTCCTCTGCTACTGCCGCCCCAATTACAGTAACTGACAACAAGCTTTTGAAGTTGCCAAACACCTCTTATTGACATTTTTTTATCTTCTTTTTCTTCGAAAGATTGTATCTTTTCTTCGGAATAGCTGTGACGGCGGTGTGTGTGTGTGTGTGTGTGTTTCGGCAGTGGCAATGGCGTTAATATGTTCGACTGAGTTTTCCTCTCTCGAAATTCCTCTTTTCTCCCTCATTTCTTAATTTTCTTTTTTAAATTAATAGAATTGTTAATTAACATTTTATTACATTAACATATTATTAAATGTGTGAAATTCTAGTATTAAGCTTTTAATCATTATTATTATTAAAAAATGGGAAATGATGAGTAAAGAACCACTTTTAGTAAATGTAGGATATTTTTTTTTTATCCTTATTTTGGAACGTATATTTTAGTAGCTACAGGCATTTTATTATAAAAAATAATTATCATCTATTGTTTTTCATTAACGGTTTACAAAACTACATTTATTCTCTACAATTTTCGATCTCAAATACATTTGAATAAACTCTTTAAATTCTTTTTTATTCGTTTATCCTACAAAATATTTTGTCCGATGAAAAATATTCACTAGAATCGACTTCTTTAAATGTCTTGAGATGATTCCGGTCCAAATTAGTAACAAAATTACTATATATTATAAAATTTGGCAAAAAATAAAAAAAATTGAAAAAATGAAAATTTGGCACATAAAACAAGAAACTTATAATTTTTAGCACCGGAATGAATTTATTACCTCAATTTCAGCCGTATCATCCTCCAAAACTAGTAAATCCATGTGCTTGGTGACTTATAAAAAAAATTTGAAAGAATAAGATGAGATATATTATGTTTTGAATTTTTAAATAAAGTGTCTGCGCTTATCAAAACTCTTCATGTGATATTCTCCATGTCGTTAAAAACTTCTAAAAGAAAGGATTTGACAAAATAAGATTGCATATTTATTAGCATTGATTATTTTAAATAAAATATCCTACATTTACTAAAACATGTCCTGCATTTATCCGTACACTTAAAAAATCGATGAAATAATAAAGGGTGTAGTATCCTTTGTAGGGCATTTGAGAGTGATTTTTACCTTTAAAATTAGCAAAAAAGGAAATTAATGTATGCAGAGTATAATTGGCATTTTTTTGGGAAATATTCCCTGAACTAAAAAACATTTTGTGAAAATCAAATTGTAAGGAGGTCGGTGTAAAACGAAAACAAACATTATATTCATAATTTGACCTAAGTTGAGGGGTTTTTGCAATTTATCCTAAAATTATTAATTGGTGGGTGTGTATGTTTAGCAATTCGGTATACTTACCACAAAGTTTATGGTATGCATTTAATTCATGAAATTTATCATCCAATTATGGTCCAAACCAAAAATCAATTGTTTGTTGGTGCATTGAGATAAAGACACTTTTTAACTACAAACTATACATCTTTCTCTCCAACGACTAAGGTGATGTTTGCAAACGTTTTTTCAAAGTGATTACGAGCTTGTTTTGGTTCAAAATCAGTTTTTTAAACATTAAAAAGTTTATAATCACTTTGGAAAAGCGTATACAAACACCACCTAAGTTTAATTAAAAACACTGAAGACACAAATAAATCAATAAATAAATACATACATACATGATACATCTAAAGGCGAAAGCTAGTTATAAATATGATGAATTTCCATACAAAAAAAATACTATATATTCGTCGGGGAATCGGGAGAAGATCAGAAAGAAGAGGAAGCAGACGAATACGAAGTCGATTCCGAAGAACACATAGTAGTACCTTTATCCCGAGCAAGTCCATTGAGCAAATCAACAAATGCTCCGACGATGAAACGATGATTTATCTTCACATTCAACCTTAAATACCACCCTAACAACTCTTCCAAGTAATCCCAACTATCCTTCACCAAAAAATTATTATTAGCTTGATCCCTCTCCACCATTTCTTGCATGGATTTCTTGAAATCCAAATAAGGATTATCCGATTCCATTTCCAGAGCCACGCTATCCTTGAATACAAACAACCCACGATCAATACATTGATCACTATAATTTTGAACTATCGAACTCGTCTCGTCTGGCTCGAAAAACAACCTCTCCGAAGAATACAATCTTACGCCATTGACCACCACTTCCAATGATTCATTATCCTCGTGAACAACACTACATTCTAAGGAGTTAGTAGTATCGAAGCTGAGAAAAGTAGTCGTCGTGAAAATAGCTTCGTTGCTTGCTCGAAAAGAAAGGGTTTTGGGGTGGGTGCATAAGGGCCAATATGATTGCCATGGTTGTTTTGCTTCTTTGTTCTTGAAAATTGAAGGGATTTTCATTTTCTTGGGCATTTTTCTTGATGAGAAATTGATCTTACGTTTGATGTAAGAAGAGTTTTTGAGATTTTACTTTGTAGTGGGTAAGGGGTATTAATAGTTAGGAGGGTAGGGTAGGGTGGGTGGTGTTAGGGTTGACGGTTGATATTATAATGTGGGTGATATGTGGTAGGAAGGTAGGAATAATAAAATTATTGTATCTATTAACATATTTATACAAAATTGATTTCCAACACTTTTTATTAGATTGGACTTGTTACCGTACAAATTGTTTTCTCTCAAAACACAAACAAACTTTATTTTATTTTCAAATTTTTCTCCCAAAACATCTTTCTCCAGAATCAGAAACTAAAGCCAAAAACTTATGATTCAGAGTTGAATGCATATCTGTTATGCCTAATGTAATTAAGAAGAGACAACAAAGAATATGATAGTGAACCTTAACTAACTTACATTTACTACTATACTGCTCTTACCTTCCTTCAATTTCTCTGTCCACACAATATATACAAATGTAATTCAAGGGTTCTTTTGTACATTCATCAATTCATAAATATTACTATTATTTTTTAATATGTTGTAAGGATTGTTGATCCTCCAACCGATATAACTTATTAGGTTGTACTTAAGGGTGGAAATTGGACTGCTCGAATCGGAATTAACACCTATGAATTTTTTTTTATTTTTTTTTCTCTTTTTGAAGCGAAAAAATACAGTCGATTATGTTCCAAACAAATTGCAAAAATCGAAAATGGAATTTCGGAAATTTGAATGCAAAAACTTGTTCCAAAATTGAAAATCATCAAATCGGAATCGGCGGTATTCAAACTAATATTATAAGAGTATTTTTTTCAAAAAATTGGAATTATTTCTTGAAAATAAAATTGGATCGAGGATCGGATTATCATATATATTCCAACTCCAATCGAAGAAACAATTAAGAAAAAAAATCCTAACCGGAAAAAGGCGCCTATTTGTCGACTCTTCGATTTGGTGCTAAGTGTGGGGTCGTATCAAACGAGCTAAGTCAGACAAAATATATGTTCGTTCAACCTCGCGTGAACTTATGTTGTGTTGGATTTTGATTTGATAATTAAACAATTGAATTGAACTCAAACGAGTTTTAATCTAGTCGACCAAGGTACTCTATTGCCATGCCGAACAGTTGTGACTATTTGTCTGTAGGAACAATTGTCAATGGGTGCAAATTTAGACCGGATGGTCTGTTTTAATAGGAAAATCGGATGCCATAGAATGATTGACACGTGGATAGTTTAAATAAAAATATAATTAAGATTCTAATAATTGGAAAAAAAAAAGGAAAAAGAAAACTCCAGCAGAATCCACAACCCCTCAGAATTTAATCTCATTGAAATATATAGATTCCTGTTTAATATCATATTTTGTTATTAAAAAAAAACAATTAACGCAAAAATAACAAAGTTTAAGCTCTTTAAAATAATACAGTCGGAATTAATAAAATTTTATTAATTTAGCAAAATATTAAATTATCAAACTAATACATTTTTATTTAAATTAATATAGTCCGAACTAACAAAATTATATTAATTTAGCAAAATATTAAATATCAAACTAATAATCTAGTACAGTAGAACCTCGATAAATTAATAATCTCGCTTAAATAATATTTTTTTCCGGTCCCGACTCGGGGACAACGTACTAAATTAATAATTCGCTAAATTTATAAGATAATACACATTCGAAAATTTTAAGAAGCCCCATGTAATATATAAATTAATAATCCATAAAAATAATTCTTAAATTACATGGTACAATACATATTTTATAGATCTATGAATGCTTAACACAATATAATTCAATTGTCGCTTGTTTCTTGTTGAAATTCACATTACCATCAATCTCGTCCCTTACTTTTCTTAACATGGTTGGAGTTTTGATATATTTTTCTCATAACTCAACATAAATCGTTTTATACCATTGCTGCTTTAAGTGCTTCCGTGCATGAAACGAGCTCTATAGTGCATTAAACTAATAATACAATGAATATTATACACGTGAAAATTTAAAAAAAAAGAAGTGTATTTATTGAAAATAATAATAAAAGTAATTTCATAAATTAATAAGTTATTAATTAATATATAAATTAATAATTATTAATTTATCTATAAGTTAATATTTCGCTAAATTAATAAAATTTTGATGATCCCAACTGTAAAAGAGGTTTAAGTGTATATTCTTACAAAATAGGGACCAAAAAAAATTATGATTTTTAAATGAGATTATTAATTTATTAAATTCTAATGTATTACGTCAAATCAATAGACCAATTTCATCAAAACCGTGAAAATGGACATTTTATACCATGTAACGCTCAATATCAATGCACATGTGGTTTGCTAAGCTTTAAGGGGAAACTACAGATAAATCCCTAATCCAAAACTCAACACACAGATCAGTCCCTAGGTAGTTTCCCCAAGCAATTCAGTCCCTATTCACGCGTCTGACATGCAGTTCAGTCCCTAATGTGAATTTTATATATTTTATTATATTCTCTCTCTTCTTTTTCACTCTCACCCTTTTCTCTCTCTTCTTTTTCTCTCTCTTCATCTTCTCTTTCTTTCTTCTCTTTCTTCTCTGTTTCTACTGCTCTCTTTCTTCTCTATTTCTTCTCTCTTTCTCTCCTCTGGTTTCCTCTTTTTTCGACGAAAAAATCACTGTAAAACCCACCCACCCCACAATGGTTTCGAATCCCGGAAGGTTATTTTACTGTTGCCCACACCATGGCTACTCCCATTGGTGTGAACCATTTGAAGTTGGGCAAACTTTTTCCAACTCAAATCGTGAAGAAAATGAAGCTACAAGTGCGTCGATGAACCAAGTCCATCAAGAAAGTGAAATGAAGAATTGCAATTCTGAAGGTGGAGTAGTTCATAGTTTGATAGTGTTGAATCTAGTAATATTTGCAGTCTACATGCTATGTAAAACCTATGTACTGTTGTTTAATTAGTGAACATAAGAGTACAATGTATAAGCTGGTAAAGTTCGGGTTATTCGTGAATATAGTACGCTTTGTCCACCAAATAAGTACAATGTATAAGCTGGTAAAGTTCGGGTTATTCGTGAATATAGTACGCTTTGTCCACCAAATAAGTACAATGTATAAGCTGGTAAAGTTCGGGTTATTCGTGAATATAGTACGCTTTGTTCACCAAATAAGTACAATGTATAAGCTGGTAAAGCTTGGGTTATTCGTGAATATAGTACGCTTTGTTCATCAACTAAGTACAATGAATACACATGTGAAGTACAAGGGATTCGTGACTATAGTACGATTTGTTCACTGATAAAGTATATGTTTGCCATTTATATAGTATTGTTACAGTCTATATATTATTGTCGGTCCAATGCATCCATATGATCGCATTTTAAGACACAACTCTTCATTTTAAGACTATTAAGAATGAATGGAGACAATGTGGGAGTTGATCAATATCGATTATGGTAACAATTGAAGAAAATATTAGTTTTACACTTGAGCATTGTAGACATGTATGAAATTCAACATATTTATGGGATCTTGTATTCCAAACGCAACAATAATTCTCACCTACCTTAAAATAACCATCTAAAACATAATTTATGCATCTCCAGTACTTATTGATCATTAAAGCGTCAATGAAATTGGTACAATGCAATTCATCAAAAAATATGGTACGCTTTGTTCATCAAGTAAGTACAATGAATACACTTGTGAAGTACAAGTGATTCGTGACTATAGTACGCTTTGTTCACTGATAAAGTATATGTTTGTCATTCATATAGTATTGTTACACTCTATTTATTATTGTCGGGCCAATGCATCCATATGATCGCATTTTAAGACACAACTCTTCAGTTTAAGACTATTAAGAATGAATGGAGACAATGTGGGAGTTGATCAATATCGATTATGGTAACAATTGAAGAAAATATTAGTTTTACACTTGAGCATTGTAGACTTGTATGAATATATTGTATAGTATATGAGTATCATGTATGAAATTCAACATATTTATGGGATCTTGTATTCCAAACGCAACAATAATTCTCACCTACCTTAAAATAACCATCGAAAACATAATTTATGCATCTCCCGTACTTATTGATCATTAAAGCGTCAATGAAATTGGTACAATTCAATTCATCAAAAAATATGGTACGCTTTGATCATTGACTGCAATCTTCTTTTACATCAATTCCTGCAATTACATACACATAAAACTACAATTATAACAAATACAACGTACTATAAAGTTCCACATGTCAATACCATCCAAAGTTACTCGTAATACCATTCAAAGGCACTAGTAATACTATTATGGCATAAGACTTATACTACAGGACCATCAAACATTATACTTCTAGTACCATATGTCAATACCATCCAAAGTCACTAGTAATACCATTCAAAGGCACTAGTAATACTATTATGGCATATGACTTATACTACAGAAGCATCAAACATTATACTTCTAGTATCATATGTCAATACCATCTAAATGCTTTCGGGACAGTACTTCGAGTACCCTGTGTCAATACCATCTAAATGCATTATTAATACCATTACTGTCCATGACACATACTATAGAACCAGTACGAAAAATACAATAAGCCTCTTTCCCATATCCTATATGAAACCCTTGTTAAACCCTTTGGGGACATGCTAATGTCACCGAAGAATAATACCCATGAGGAAACTGTTACAAAATCATGAAATTCGACAACAAATAAATGATATTTGCAAACCCAAACAACAGAAAAACAGATATTGGAACCGATTTAATGATTAGGGAAAACACCGAATAAAGTCGAGGCATAATACCCATGAGAGGATATGTTCAAAATCATGCAATTCTACAACAAATAAACCTTTTTGCAAGCTTAAGCAACACCCAAATGGGTCTGTTTCCAAGAAAATGAAAGAAAAAAGAAATCAAACCTTGTTGTTTACCCTGCTTCACCATTGTCGAGAAATGGGTTTGTTTATTTTTATTTTTCCTTTCGTTGTATAATTTTTCTGCGTTTTGTTGATTCTTCGTGCTTCGTTGTTTCTTCCTTCTTTGAAATGTAACGGGCAAAGAGCGTGTAACACAAACGGCGCGTTGGAGGTTGGAAATAAGTTATGTAAAATTAGTATAAAGTAAAGGGTATTTTAGTATTTGCACATTTTATTAGGGACTGAACTGCATGTTAGGCGCGTGAGTAGGGACTGAATTGCTTGGGGAAACTACCTAGGGACTGATCTGTGTGTTGAGTTTTGGATTAGGGATTTATCTGTAGTTTCCCCAAGCTTTAAAATTATTAATTGAAATAATTACTTTTGTCTACGAATATTTCCTAAAATTGCCTGGACATTGTCAACCTCGACTTTCGTGCTGCTCAAAATCCGGATTAATACCACTTTGCACCATTGAATGGATTAATACCACTTTGTAATCATAATTTTACGGGTTGAAACTTGTTATCGTTTAAACATTTTTTTAGTGGTGCTATTTCTACCTCTAAATTATCTTAAGTCACCACCAAATTTATATAAAATATTATAAATACTCTTCAAATTTGTAATACACCACCTTCCCTTATATTCGATTAATCCTCATATATTCAAAGTTTTTTCATTTGCAATGAAACTAAGGGTAAAACAAGATTGTGCTGAATAAAATGTAACCAATTCTTTAAATTTTATTCAACCGAGAATAAGAATATCAAAAATCTCTGATTATTTTTTGTAATTTATTATTACATAAGCGCTCTTAATTTATTTCTCCAAGAACGTGAATTCCTGCTCCTTTTGACATTCAGGTGTTTTTCTCTGACGAATGTTTCGTTCAATTAAGGTAGAGAGGGTGAGATTTTGTGGTAAAGATTCTAGTGGAAAATTGTTGAGTTTTTTTGTGAATATATTAATTAATTTGATGGTGGACAATTTATGAATTTGTACATAATATAAGTGAAAGAGGGAACATATGTAAAATAAAAATATATTTAATTTGGTGATAAAATAAAATATATCCGGAAAAAAGACCTTTGGGTGATTTTGAGAAACCTACAAAGAAGATTGAGAGAATATGAAATAGAGAGAGATTTTTTCTTTTTTTTTTTTAATTTATGTGCGGGATTTAGCGCTCCTCGTTCTGAAAAGGGATACGACTCACCCCACACAAAGAAACAAGAAAATAGTACTGGACGAGAAAGGATCCCCTTCTTTTACCATCATCCACAAAAATCACAAACTAGTGGCTATCAAAATATACATAATTTAATTTAATTTCGAGCAAACAAATGAAATGATCATTCAATAATCAACAAAAAAAATTAAAAAAAATCCATGGCAATAATTGGCAGAATATTCATCAACAATGTACAAGCAGCAGCAGCAGCAACTAATAATATCAACAGAAAGGAAACCAAAAATAGAGCAATTAGCAATAATAAGGGAGGTGGAAGAAGAGAGCTTCTTCTAAGTTCAACATTAATTACAACAACTGCCATTGTTCTTGACTCTCAAACTCAACTTCTCAATAGTATGCATTTTCATTATTAATATATCACTTTATTCTTTTTTTCGTATTCTAATTACTTTCATTTGCATTTCGCGGATCGGATTTTTTTTCAGAGACGAAATAATGCAAAATTAATTTTTTTTTTTTTTTTTTTGACTTGTTCATAGAATATCTGAAGAAATCAGAAGAAAACAAAGCCAAAAATGACAAGGAGGTAAGCACGCATATATTTCTTACGCTTCGTTAGAGGATGTTGATATCGTACGTGTGACCGATAAATCGATTGAATTGTTCATACTAATTCAATATGTGCGTGGTTATATCTTATGTTTGAGATTTGTGATTACGGTCATGCAATAATATATATACGGTTGAGTTAGAACTAAAATATCCTTCATAATTTGATTAAGTTTCGGGCTCGTTTTTTAATAACAAGATTAAAACCTAATTAAATTACGCCGAATAGTTGATAAAGCTTGATTGTATTTTGGTGACAGAGAATGGACAGTTATTACAAGAGGAACTACAAGGATTACTTTCAGTTGTTAGAAGGTGATCTGAGGCAGAAGAAAGACCTCACTGAATCAGAAAAGGGCATTCTTGAATGGCTTGACAAAAATAAATAATTAATTCATTAATTAAACAATTATTATTTTACTATGTAATTTTGCTTATTCAGCTTTATGTTACGGTTCATATTCTTTTTGTAGAGCTACATTTTACATTAGAAGGTTGTTTTGTTGTATTTTATCTGCAAACTACGTGCCACGGAAACTTTAATTTCTTAATGTTTCTGGCTTTCGGATATGTTTCGTATCCGATATTCGAGGATACATGTCGGATAATTATATGCCATTTTGCAATTTCTGAAAAGTTAGATTTATGTTTGAATGAGAAATTTGCAAATATTTTTTGTTGTTTCCCTAATTATTTACACAATTTAATGATCAATTGCATATTGATAGTCGATAGTGAAATTTATTTTAAATATGTTTGTATGAAAATATATATATAAAAAAATTATATAAATAAAAACTTATATATGTTTACAAAGCATATTTATAAATATACCCCTATATTTGTAATATTTACACGTTTTCCCCCAAGTTCCCGTATCTCTATTTTTTGGACAAGTCATTTCCCCGTTTTGTCGTATCTCCATTTCCATATGCGTGCTACATAGTCTGCAACACATTTATAACCTTACTGCACCAACAAATTGTCATTTTTTTGCTGCAACTATACATTCTTTTCTTTATTCAAAAAAGGAAAAAAAAAAAATTTGACATCCCTAATCAAATATATATATGGTTGCATTGTTCACTTTATGTGTTTGTAATTGTATGCATAACATGTAAAAACGGTTTGTAGCCATAACTATTTTGGAATTGGGATTTCTATTTGAGAACTTTTATATTTTTCTTTCACTAAAATCTATAGTTTTGTATATTTGTTCTTTCTTTATTAAAATATATTCGTACAAATATATATTATATTTGCTTAAGATAAATTAAAGATTAAAATACAACAAGAAAAAAAAATGAAAATAGAACAAATATTCTTTATCATAAATTCTCACATGTAAAACAATCTTAAAATCTCATATGATCCATTTCAAGTACATAGACTATTATCTTTTTGTAACATCACTTGTTATTTATTTAATTTTTATATAGGACAATTTGCTATACACTCCTCAACTCTAATTTCTTTTCATATCAAGACACTCATATTTTTTTCATTTTGCTTAAAGTCCTCTACTCTATTATTGACAAATTTACTCCCAATTATTTTCTATATTCTACTATCTTTCCCCTTCTCTATTCGATATTATTTTATAGGGATAATTAGTGAAAAATTCCCAACTCATTTACTTATATTAGGGTGGATATAACCTCATTTTCATTATTAGTGAGACCCCCACTTTATATTAAATAATTTATTTTTTAATTAATATTGTATTTAACATGACTAATATACCTAATTTGCCCTTCTATGTTATATTTAAAATAATCAAAATTATTTCACGTTCTTTTTATTTCTCTTATTCCCCTCTCCCTTTTCTCTCTATAAACCGCCGCCTCCAACCCTGATCTCCATCTCTGTGCTACCGCTGCCGCCACCTCCAACCCTCTTCCATCTCTGTGCCGTCGTCTACTCTCTCCCATCGGCGTTCCTCCCTCCACCGCCGCGAAAAGAAGGCGGTCTCCATCCCTGGATTTCTCTCGTCAAGGACGGCGTTAGGGTTTTTTCGGTAGGGAGAATGACGAGACTACGCAGCGGCGCTAGGGTTGATATTGCGTCTGAGATTTCAGTAGAGACCATCACCAACATTATTTGATTGTTGTTCTTCTTCTTCTCTGATTTTTTTGGAACCCAATTCTCGAATCTCAATTTTCTTACTTGGAGTGGCTGAATTCTTATATTGAAGGCTAATTTTGTGTTCAATCAATAGTATAATGGATGTTTATTTTTGTTGAAATTGTGTTGGTGTTATTTACAGACATATAGTTGTTTTCGTACAACAATATAGTTGTTTTCGTACAGCAATATAGTTATTTTTATTACCTTTTAGTTGATATTAATAAATAGTTGATTTAACAAATAATTGATTTTGAGAAATGAGAGTTGTTGGAGATGTATAGTTGTTTTAATCATAATTGTTTTAATAACATTTTTTTAATATAGTTGTTTTTAATAATAGTTGTTTTTAATAACAATTGTTTTATTGAAATATAGTTGTTTTAACTGAAGACAAAAAAAATACTAAAAAAATATTTTTTTAAAATACAATTAAAAGTTAAAAAAATATTTTTTTTTAAATATTATTTTTTAATTAAGAAGTAAATAAAAAAACGAAAATTAAAATTAAAATATAAAAATAAAAAGTGCATCAAATAGGGTATAATAGGTAGTGAATAGAGAAAGGGTAAATTTGAGAATTAAAAAAGGATGGGTCTCTCACTAATAAAGGAAAAGGAACTCGACTCATGCTCATTAAAATAATGCTAGAGGGGGTTCTCACTAATAGCCCATTTTTTATATGAGATTTTGATTTTCGATCCGATTTTAATTTTCAAAAATAATTTCAAAAATTCAACAATTATTATGTATTTTATATTATAGGTAAATAAAAAATGGATTTCTGATCACTTCCGACTCCTATCTGAAAATTCCCGACTGTTGAGCAAGTTTTTTAGTTCCATTTTCAAATTTTTGATTTCGGAAATTTGTGAATAAAAATGTAATTCTTATATCATTTCTAAATAAAAATACTAATTTCAATCGGGTCCTTCCATCTCAACCATACAAATAATAAAATGGATTAAAAAAAATGTCATTTTTTTTAGGAAAAAATGACATATCATTTGACGACATCCGTCAAATTCATAGGAAGGTTGAAGCCCTTCAAATAGTCGATACAAGGAATTTTAGCAACAGAATGAGCTAAAAGTTGCATGCACGCTTGATGAACATAAAATTACACTAGTTAAAAGAACTCACAACAAAACAACATTCCTCAACTAGTGATCCAAACGACGAAAACTCAGCTTCTCCATTACGAAGGGCGTTGATTACTTGAATACAGTCTCCTTCCAGAATGACGTTCTCCCATTGCCTTTTCTTTGCCTAATTAATAGCCCTTAATGCAACGAGAGCTTTTCCTTCCACCGGGCGGAGGTTTCCGTCTAGCTTTGTCACTTTCCATCCCATGCATGTACCCTTACTGTTTCTTGCCACAACAACTATAGTGAGGAATTTTTTACCTATTGGAAATGCTGCGTCGAAGTTTAATTTGATCACGTCTAGTGGAGGGGGGATCCACTCGCTTGGGTGCAGCTGTGTAAGGTTGGCATTGGGTCCAATTTGAGATGCCTTAAACACAGCCAAATAATTGCAACTCCAATTCACTAACTATCACGATAGCAAGTATTTCTCGCCTTTCATATCTAGGTTCCTATTATCCCAAGCTTTCCATGCTACCACCAATGCTAGGATGAAAGTTTCCTTGTCAAGGAGGCTGCAAACTTTCCACCCAATGCCCAGTTGAAGTGAAAGTGAGGTCATGGGCTAGGTCGAACGGGTGACTTCTCCAAACTTCTGCCATTCCTCTGCAGTGAAGAAGCACATGCAATATCGTCTCGTCGGCGCCATTACAAGCTGTACATAGAGGAGAGAGCTAGATCTTCCTCCGAAATAATTCAGCGTTGGTCTGGAGAATTTTTTTTTTTAAACCGCCATAAGAAAACACAGATTTTTTGGAGAATCGGAATCTTCCAAATTTCTTTCCAGTTCGGATTGCACACTCCACTCCTTGAACCGTTTTCAATTACACGATGATGACCCAAAGGTGAAGGGCATGAAATGATATGATGGTAACACGATCTGACCGTGAAGTTCTCGTAGCTAAAAAAGTGCAAAATCCATCTATCTCTCACAATCCCACCGAGATAGCCAGAATACGATCAACATCAACCGGCCAAAAAAATGTCATTTTAAAGTTTGTGAATAAAAATGGATTTTATATTATAGGTGAATAAAACATAGATTTTTGATTACTACCGACTCCTATCCGAAAATTCCTCATTATTGAACAAGTTGTTAATTCCATTTTTTTAAATTTTGATTTCGAAAAACTTTTCGGATGATTTGTGAATAAAAATGTACCTCTGATGGACTTTCTGGTTCTTTAGATGCTACACCTGATTATTTGCATTCGGTGGATTTGAACCTTAGACATAATCACACTCATACACCCATATCTGCTTAGTAGGTAGTTATTTAATCAAATCTACGGTTCAAATCCATCAGGTGTAAATAATCAGGTGTAGCATCTAATTTCCCATTATTCACAAACTCGGGTTATAAAATGGTGTTCTAAAAATAATACACCATGAAACTCGGGTTATAACACAAAAAAGGGTAACTAGCACTTAAGCCCCCTGTGGTTATAAGTTTTTGCAGATGACCCCATTGTGCTCGTAATATCAGCACATAAACTCCCTTGTGATTTGTGGAGTAGTTTTCATTAGTTTTTCCGTCAAACTTAACCGCGTGCGTTAAACTTCAAGAGGGTCATCTGCAAAAATAAAAGGGAAAATGAAAGCACAAGGGGGTCGGTCATCTACAAAAAAAGAAAAAATACTTTGACGTCTGACAAAGACGGTTAAATTTGATGAAAAAACTATCGAAAACTACCTCCATCAATCACAAGGGGTTATGTGCTGATATTACAAACACAATAGGACCATTTGCAAAAGCTCGTAACCACACGGTGTCGGTGTCAAGTTGCTATTTACCCAAAAGAAAAAAGGAAAAAAAAAAAAAAAAAAAAAATGGAAACATTGGTCCGCGGCTGTCGTCAGCACCACCAATTCGCGCCCCCACCACCACCATTACCACTTTAACAGTAGAGCGCACAAACAAACTTTACTAATTCTTCTTAAAACCCCCAATTCAGATATGCTACACAATTTCCATATTTCAGGAGCCAACCAGAAGATCCACATTTCTAACGCCACCCAAGAAAACCGAACAAGCATTCCGAAATCTCAAACCCACAACAATCCAAAACCCTCCAAAAATATTTCCATGGCCCACACTACGCCGCCACCAGTTCCGCCATTGAAATGCAGCTCCATCGCCCAAGATAATAAAACACACGCCCACAAACCCATCTTCGATCCCCACAGCATAGACCCAATTTTGGTCCAGAAAATGGAGTACGATGCTTTGGTTTGGAGCTCTCTTCACGGCCTTCTTGTCGGAGACAGGGCTTCACAGGTTCGTATTGATTACTCAGCCGCAAAAAAAAAAAAAAATGAATCTTTTTTTTTTTTGATCTTTTTTAACGTTAATCTTGCTTATTTGTTTTGTTGATTGAACTCTGAAATAGGATGTAGTAGAAATTCTATTGTGTATTTTTGTATCTATTGTCTGATTTCGATTTTGTTGATCAGTAACATATGAGGTAGAGAACAGTCTTCGTTAATGTATATTTTATTAATTGCATTCATTTTAGCAATGTCGGAGCCATAATTTCGTATTCGCCCACTTGAAAAACAGAGTAGATGTTAAAGAAATGGTCGGGGGGGTCATGGCCCCCATAGCCCCATTGCATTTTAGGTGAATGTCCTAAATAATGCATCCCTTGATTAAATAAGTTAATAAAGTTTAAGATAAGTGAAACGAGGTACTCGATATTGATTGAATTTGATAGAAACGTAAGTGAAAAATATGTTATTGTATAGCTATGGTGTATGAGCTGATGAGATTTTCTTAAATTGTGCAGAAATCAGGTAGAGTACCTGGGGTGGGACTGGTTCATGCGCCTATCTCGTTATTGCCGATGCCGTTTGCTGAGAGTTATTGGAAACAAGCTTGTGAAGTAGCTCCCATTTTCAATGAACTTGTCGACCGCGTGAGCTTGGATTCGGAATTCCTTCAAGAATCTCTCTCCAGGTTTACGAGCTTGAGATTCGACTTATGAAAACATTATCTGTTTTTTTTTTGTTTATTCAACAATGTAATCTACCATCAATCTCGAATGATATAATATATATATATATATCTGCATACATGTTATCCTTGAGCATTTGGTTTTATGCTTTAACCGATACTAACTTGTTCTCTTTTATTTTTTGTAACTATGTGATAATAATAATCAATGTGCTAGTTGTTTGCATGTATATATGTACTCCCGAAATTTACAGATCCTTTGTTGCTGGAGTTTCAGATGAGTTGGAAACGTTAAAATTTTATCTGTCTTCTTATTATTGCTTTCAAAGTACTTACTGAGGCTACTGGTGTCGTGTAATTACTTTTGTTAAGAGGATATTTTCGTTAACAAATTTGTATTTTTGGACGACAAGAAAAAAAAAACGAGAGTCATAAATTTTGGTCGAAGTATAATTTTTTGTAGTGCACTAATTCCTTTCGACACTTGTTGTATATGCAGAACTAAAAAGGTCGATACTTTTACATCTAGACTCCTAGATATTCATGCCAAGATGTTAGCTATGAACAAGAAAGAGGTATTTCTTTTACATGTATTTTTTTTGTTTCTGTTGTGTGTGTTTATCTATGTATTTTGACGAAAATTTGAGGTTTCGAACGATACTAATGCTTACATATGTCTATTATAGGATATACGATTAGGACTACATCGCTCGGATTATATGTTGGATGAGCAAACTAATTTACTTCTCCAGATAGAGCTCAACACAATTTCTTCTTCGTTTCCTGGGCTTAGCTGCCTCGTAAGCGACCTTCACAGGTTATTTCACACTATATTCTTTTCTCCTTTCGCCACATCATCGGTATACCATAAAAAAAAAAATCAATAACGGGGGATAGTTAAATTTTCAGGAATTTACTTTGTCAATTCGAACAACACCTTGCTCTCGATCCAGAAAGGGTTCCGAAGAACAACGCCGTTAGTCAGTTTGCCGAAGGACTTTATAAAGCCTGGATCGAATATAACGACTCAAGGTTAGTTAATCCGAGTCCTCTTTTTTTCAAGATTTGCAATTTTTTTTTTGTAGGTCACTAAAATTCGAACATGTTGTTGCAGTGCTGTAGTTATGGTCGTGGTTCAAACCGAAGAACGGAACATGTACGATCAACATTGGCTTTTTACAGTACTGAACGAAAGATATCCCTTTTAAAAAAATAATTCACGTACTTCTTATTTCAATATTACGTATCTTTATCGAACATTTTGCTGAGCTTTCGGCTGAAGATATTTTCCTTAGCTGAAATCTACGTATCAAGTTAGAAGTATCAGGAAAACATTGGCAGAGATCGATTCACAGGGGAAGCTTATGCCAGATGGAACACTTGTTGTGTAAGTATATATATAAATATATATATTGGACTCGAAAAACGAACTCCGATTTTTGTAGCCTTTGTTTCTTGATTTTCGGAAGTTATATAATTGCAGGGATGGTGAAGCAGTTGCTGTGGTTTACTTTAGAGCTGGCTATGCACCGACTGATTATCCCTCGGAATCGGTAACTAATTCGTACTTGATCAATAATTATTAATTGTCTAAACAACTAATTTGTTATATTTAAATGATTTAAAATATGTTTATTACCTTAATAATAAATTAACATTTGTATTGAACTGTTCGATGTAGGAATGGAGTGCTAGGTTACTGATCGAGCAGTCGCGTGCAGTCAAATGCCCTTCGATTGCATATCATTTAGCTGGAACTAAGAAAATCCAACAAGAGCTGGCGAAACCCAATCAACTCGAAAGGTCGGTTATTGTTGCGTTTAGTTAAACGTAAACATTATTGGTTAATGGTTGAATTACGGCCACCTCCTGAGGTAAGGTCAAATTACGAAAACCCCCCATGTTTGAGTAATTACAACCGCGCCCTCAACTATGAATCTTCTTACACGTCCACCCTCGCGGTGTGAAATTTAGTGGGATCTTCTATATTACGTGGAATATTTTCTAGTTTGTACCCGTTTTACCCCATTCGAGCTCCACATTTTGAAAGAAGATGATCATAAGATGTGTCTCCAGTCTCTTGGCTTGTAAATATTAGATTGTGGTGCATCAGAAACTGCATTTTTGAACAAAACGAGTATAAACTAAAGAACATTCCACGGAATCTAAAAAATTATGTTGAATTCGACACCATAAGGGTTGATGTGTAAGAAGGCTCGTAGGTTAGGGGTGTGGTTGTAATTACCCAAAAAGAAGCGGTTTTTTTCGTAATTTGACCTTACTTCAGGGGGTGGCTGTAATTTTTACCCTTGGTTATATTAAAGATAAAAGGCAAATATCGAAATTGTAGAATCTCAAAATTTAAACTTTTTGTTCGTTTCTAGTAGAAAGTGTATCAATACTTTGCTTGTGCATTTGGGTTTTCTCATTTCATTTTTTTTCGGTTCGATTAACAGGTTTCTTGAAAATAAAGACGACATTGCTAAAGTACGGAAATGCTTTGCCGGGCTATGGAGTTTGGACGACTTAAACATTGTCAAAGATGCAATCGAACGGCCTGGTTTGTATGTCATGAAGCCCCAAAGAGAAGGCGGAGGTAATTATTGGAATTATTATTTATTATTACGAATGCTTTTAATACTTAAATACGATTTCCTTGACCGTGTGTAAAACTTACTCTTAGGAAACAATATATACGGTGATGATGTGAGCATTGCCTTGCAAAAAATGCAAAAGGAAGGCACGGAAGAAGACGCAGCGTATATTCTCATGCAGAGAATCTTTCCAACCGTTTCGCCTGCAATTTTAATGCGGGAAGGCGTATCTCATAAAGATCACGTTATATCGGAACTCGGGATATATGCCACATATCTAAGGTTAACAATTATTTGTATGATTTTTTCATGTCATGTGTTTATATATCTTTTAATTAGGGTAGAAAGTCTCGTAATGTTAATATTTTATTTAAAATCGACAGGAACAAGACAGAGGTGATAATGAATGGGCAGTCTGGTTACTTGATGCGGACAAAGGTCTCTTCCTCGAACGAGGGCGGAGTTGCAGCTGGCTTTGCTGTTTTAGACAGCATTTATTTAGTTTGATTGACTCTACAATTTTATTTCGATTAAATTTCGATTGGTTTTTGCGTTAATTTAATCAGAAAGAAATAAGGGGAAAATGGTGATCCTGGTGGAGAAAGGGAGAGACTATATATATTTGTATATCATTATTTATGTAAATTGTTGCCAACGATTTCGACTGTGTTTGGAGGTCAAATTCAATCTATTCTGAATGTTTTAATGGTTTTGTATTAAAAGTTGCATCATATGGTTCATGTCCTACGAATTCTTGTATACACTTCCGTTCTCGAGCAATAACTTGCACACCGAGAAATGTAAACGAGACTAGTATAATTTTGTTTGATTATATCCTATTAAAGTGATATGTAACTAATGGCAGTCCGATAAGGATGATGAAAACGATGATGATAATACTGATACTAATAATTTGTTTACACGAAACTATAAACAACTAACACGAATCTATGTATATTATTATGTGCAAATGTGAATGATCTATGTAGCAGGGACACGGAAACGGTGATATGTGGAAACGGGGAAACGGCATACCCCTAAAATAGGGATACTGGAGCTTGGGAAAAATGTGTAAATATTAAAATGACCCATAAGGTGTCCTCGAGTGTCGAACACGAAAACCGTCCGAAACGCGAAAACGTTAAGAAGTTGAAGCTTCCGTGCTACATATTGTACCATAGATGCACACCCGAAATATTTCAAGTACAATAATTCATCACACTTGAAAGAAATTTAATTTCATAATCAAAAGGCATCATCTAAATACTCTCTAATTCCAAATCTTTAAACTGTCAAAACAGAGTTCTGCTTCCAATGAATCCAAAAAAAACCTCTAAAAATGAAACGTAACCGAGCGTAAATCACAAAAGAATGGAAGCCATATATCGACAAGAACTATACACAAGCTTATGAATATTGTTTTTTTAAAAAGAAGAAAAGAATAGGTATATTACTATACTAAGAACAGCAGAATACTTTCATAAAAAGTCGTTTGTTTCGTCTTTCCAACCAAATTGATGAGCTCGATTCATCCAAAGGGCAGTAAGCTTTCGTTCTTGTCTGAGTTTAACTTCAGCCCTTTCTCTTGCTTCTTCGCAAGTTTCGACTCCCGTGTTACATTTCTCTGCTTCTTTCTGATAGTGAGACGATGTTCTCTTTGCAGACATAATTAGTGCCTTTGTCCTTTGCAAGCTGTCGTTTGTCACGTTTTCGTGTAAGCTAAGTTCTTCCGTTAATAGAGCTACAATGTCCTTCTTCATTTCCTTGTTTATTTCCGGGTCGTCTTTCCCACAATCTGCATGCACAACAATCACCAAATTTAATATGATACTGTAGTTCGAATATCTACTGAAGCATTATGTTTTACGAATCGATAAGTTTTCGTTACTGAGAAAGATTATGAAAAACAAATTTGCAGACATTTTTGAAAGAGTTTTTCCACTGTTTGAAAAGCATTAATATGAATATCGCAACAACCAGTTGTAGATTTGCAATAACCGAAACTTATAGACGAGAAAGAACCAAAAAGAAAACGAAAAAATAATGCTATATTATGCAAGATCATTAGCTGCCATTACTTTGAAAATAATATAATATGCCAGTATTATCCAACGGGATCCTGACAAAGCATATGTATAATTTTGAGAAACGATACGAGAAATAAAATATAACTAACCTGCAAAGGAGCTATTGATGAAGTCTGCAAAATCAAAGAAAAGAAAACGAGAAGTTACGATAAGCCAATAATAATTATCTGATTTTGTTCGGTAATCAGCAGTACGGTACCATCAATTTTGTAGCCGAGCGAATATTCCATACACGGCACACTAAAGTAAGCATGACATCATACAAAAAAAAAAACGAGAGATAGATATCTAGTACACTTCTTGTTGCAGAAGTACAAATATTCATGTTTTACAACAACACAGTGCTAAACATTTTAAACGAACGTACGCACACGAGCAATCTTAAATTTAAAACGTCACCATATAACTGCTAATATAACAACCTCAATTGATGCATAATACAGTTCCGTTGCACGCAAATGCACTTCGAATGTGATAAATAACATTTTCTTGAAGTTAACTCTATATGCGATAAATGCACTTCGAGTGTACTCTTATCTATATTCTGTACATCGAAAAAACGAATTAGAGGGCTATCGTTTGTCACGTCAATTTAATTTCGAAATATACGACGCAAAAGAAACCGAGTTACGAAATATACCATTTTACGACAGTCGATAGTGCAGTTGGTAGCCTAACCTAAGACTCTCTACTATGATTTATCACACAGAGGAGACACAATTAAATTATTTATTTTTGCTATTTAAACACCATTTATAAAATAAAATGAAAAATAAATTGCAAAATGAATTAAATTTAAAAAAATGGAAAATAAAACTGACCTAAAGGCAAAGAAAGAGAAGGCTCTGAACTGCAATCACAAGAACAAGGAGGGCAAATAACAGCCAATGCAGTTGAGTATTTTCTGGAATGCCTCTCTACATAACAAATCAAAATCAAGCAAACTAAAACCAACACCACCCTCATCAATTTCACGCGGTTCACCCTGAAATCCGACGGCGGATGTGAATTCGCCATTTTTTTTTTTTTTTTTTTAAAATTAAAAAAAAATCTCTGCTTTTTTCGCCCGGGAAAATCGAAATCTTCAACAGCAAGAAACAAAATCCATCTCAGAATCGATCCAATTAAATCGCGAGAGAAATGTACGACGAACGCCGTACAGCGGAGTGATGAAAATCGAAGTGTGCAATTTGGTTTGAACAATCGGAACGGCGTCGGATTAAATTGAATTAATACCTACTTTTTTTTCTGTACGTAATAAAAGTGGGATGCGATATCTAGAAATTCGTGAGCATCGATCCCTATGACGTGAAAAAGAAAACCCAGATTTGAGAGAGAGGCTAGAGAGAGAAAGAGAGGAGAGAGAAGTGAGGTTAGAGAGAGAAGTGAGGTTAGAGAGAGAAAGAGGAGAGAGAAGTGGGGGGTAATGAAATCTAGTTCTAGTTTGGGTATAACTCTTCCATTACTTGTTGGAGATCCACTTTGAACGTTAAAGTTAGCTATCCAGGCTTTTGCTAATTAAATATTTATATATATTTTTTATATTGGGTAAATTACAATCACACCCTGAAGTATAGTTAAATTACGAAAACTCCCCTCATGTTTGGATAATTACAACTACCTCCAACTATGAATCTTCTTACGCGTGCAATCTTTTGGTGTCAAATTCAATATAGTCTTCTAGATTCCGGGGAAAGTTCTCTAGTTTGTACTCGTTTTTGTGCAAAAATGCAGTTGATCATGCACCACAGTCTGATATTTACAAGCCAAAAAACACATCTTATCATCTTATTTCAAAATATGGAGCTCAAACGGGATTAAAACGGTAATTGCATTAAAGTTGACACTACGAGGGTGGACGTGTAAAAAGATTTATAATTGAACGATGATTGTAATTACCTAAACCTGAGAGGTTTTTACATAATTTGACTATACCTCAGGGGTTGTTGTAATTTACAAATATTTGAGTTTGTTATTTTGAATAACAAAAACTTGCGAAAAAGTGCCATTTTTTTTTAAATTTCTATTTTGCAAATTTCACATTATTGAAGGGGTATTTAGAAATAAATTATAGTTTAAGAGATATATGTGACATGAAGATACCATTTTTTTTAATATACAAATCTTAAGGTGAGTATTATAATGCACATTGTAACGTTGCTACCAAACTTATTTAACTTGAACAAAGTATTTTTAATTAGAGTTTTGGTCATAAATCAGGGAAAATTTGACAAAACACCCTCATACACAAGCGTCATTACATTAGGCCCAATTTTATTTTTCATTTTTAAGAAAAATTCAAAATATTTTTTATTAATTAAAAACCCTTAATTATTACTACTATGCCCCTAGCTAATTAATACACGTGTTTAAATATTTGTTATTAGAAGATACATAATATCTTCTACATAAATATTTTAAATATCACTTTCTCAATTAATTCCACCATTAACGTTTATTGATTGCACATTTTCGTTTATGTAGAATCGGAATTGTAACTCACAGAAATAATAATATGTTTGTGTCATTGGATAAGCGGCGGCAGTGCAGATTCACATGGTGGTTTTCGGCTCACAGGAGAATTTATATGTGAGATTTTGTATTCCTTTACGTTGGACAGTAATTTTATATGTGTATGTACATGTTTTGTTGATGTATATAAGATTTGTATGTGTCTGACGCACTGTACACGTTTTGTTGATGCTTAAACAAATGTTAGAGTGGTTTTTGCACGCATAGTGGTTTTTGCACGCATAATGGTTTTCGCGCGCATAGTGGTTTCTGCCATTCCTTTATTAAATCCATGGATTTTGACATTCCCATTTTATTAAATCCACTATTGTGCAAAGTGATTTTTGCCATTTCCACTGTAATATACATCATTTTTTTATCGGAAAAGCTTGTGTAATGTTGAACCAATATATGTATGTTGTTTGCCCCAAAAGAGAAGAAGTTTTTGTCCGAAAATAATAGTAGATTTTTTTACAGTAAACGTGAAACCATTGTTGCAGTTTTTGGAGATAAAAAAAAAAGATGAAATGAATATTTGAGATACTGGGGAAGTTGGGGCGAGATTTGTGAAGAGATGGAGAAAAATTAGATGTGATAAACAAATTAGGGGAGAAATGTTGGGAGGATTTTTAGGTAATGCGATTTTGGGAGGGATTCTGCATTTAATTCACCGTATTTTTAATTTAAAATAATTATACTAAATAGTGGGGCATATAAAGTTTTTTAGGCCCAATGATTTATGTTAAATATCAATTACAAATTAAGGATTTATCAAGAAGTCAAATCTCAGTGGTGGTGTTTAACAAATCCCCATTAATTATAGGGTAAAATACACTTAATTCCCGCAATTACCCCCGAATCAAAGACACTTTCGAACTAATTAATATAATAAAAGCTTATAAACTCTTCCAATGTGTTTGGTAATTTTTTTCAAAAAAATCTTAAAAAATCATAAAATAAGAGGTTGGAGAGCTTGAATATCTTTTTTCAAAAATTACATCTACCCCCACATTTTTATTTAAAATCTCAGCAACAGTAAAAATAGCTTGTAAGCTTATTATCCAAATACTTCAAAATTTAATTTAAAAAATAAGACATGATAGTTTATTAGTTGTTAAAACAACTTGTCAAATGTAAAAGCTTATCAATTGTTTAAAATAAGTTTAGCCAAAGAGATTCTTGTAAAAGTCGCCATATATTATGATTATGAAATAGTAATTAGGTGTTGTCTACAAAAACTTAGTTAAAAGTAGAAGTTACTAATTGTGAGTTAAGTTGGTTGTAAATATTTATTTATGAAAGTTCGGAGTTTTTGCAAATATTATGAAAAGAAAACTAAAAAAAAAAAACAGGTCTAGAGATGCTTTTAAAAAGATAGCTTAAATCATTTTAAAAGAAGCAAAAATATAAATTAATGTTACAACTTGCAAACACCTAAAAACAGATTATGAGCAGAATATAAAAACTCATAATTATAATCTATGCTGCACGGACACTTCTAGAAGGTGAAGAGTCTCCGTATCCGACACCTGGACACTCGGACACACTCGGATACTTCTCGGACACCCGTGTCGGGCCGTATCGTAATTTCGCTAAAAGTAGGACACCCGTGTCGGGCAGTGTCCACAATTTTAAAAAAGTTGAGACACTTCTCTTACATTTTAAGAGATAGCCCTAATAAAAAAAATGCGCATTTTCTTTGCTCTGTAGTACACATTTCCTCTGTTTTCTTTGTGAGTACACTCAAAACTCCAGAAGTCTAGCATGCGACGGCGACCAAGAACACGAGCAACAAGGGCGAGCGGTTCTCTTATGCGATGACGACCTATACATATTTTTTACAATTTATAAATGTACCCCTATATTTTTATTATTTATAAATATACCCCTATATTTTTTATATTTACGCGTATCCTCGCGTGTCCGTATCCTAGTTTTTTGGAAATGCCGTATCACTGTGTCCGTATCCGCGTATCGCCGTGTCCACGTATCCGTGTCCGTGCAGCATAGATTATAATGAGCAACTGAGCGCTCTTATAAATGTGTGTTTTTAATATGGTTGCTTACAAATATCCATAATTATAATGAGCAGCTGAGCGCTCTTATAAATGTGTGTTTTTAATAGAAAACTAGCAATTCTTATAAAATAATTAGTTGCGAAATTTAAATTATAAAAGTAACATAAAAAAGAGTTAAGTTAGGCAAGGCAAATTAATTAAAATAAAAAGTCCACATTTGTGAGTGTGTGAACCAAAGAGATTTTGCTTTATGAGATAAAAAAAATAAAAAAAATTCCACATCACTATGTTAAAAAGATGAGGGATTTATAAAGATATTGCAAAACTTAAAGAAAAATTATCCGAGTGAATTAAGGTTTTGCTAGCCGATTTGCAATTTTTATTTGCTATGAAAGTCGGAAAAATGAAGAACGTAACAGATGAAATTGAAGAGAAAAGTAATTGATTTAGAAAATAAAGATATGTCATTAGAATTTCTTATATTACATTACATGTTCATTTCATACTTTTATATATAAAGATTCCCTAATAGCATGTCTCAAAATCTCTCATTAATCCCATCAAAAGAAAAATCTCTTAATTAATAATATCCTCCAAGCACACTTCAAAAAATTGCAAAGAATAAAGGGTTAATATGCTAAGAGTCCCTTAAATGAAACCTAATTTGAACTAAATGACAACCTTAAATTCAATCTTTTAATTAAATCCCTATTTTAAAATAATATATGACACACATCCCTAATTTTTATTTTATTCCTAGTTTGCCCTTATACCCTAAATATAATATCCCACGTTTATTCAACTAATCATATTTTTTTTTTCTCTCTCCCATCTCGCCGCTCCCTCTCCCTCTCGCCTCTTCTTCTCAGATTTTTTTTTGTTTTCTATCTCGCCTCTCACCGCTCACTCTCCCTCTCGCATCTTCTTCTCCCTCTCCCTCTCGCCTCTTTATCTTCCGGCAAGGCGTTGTGGGGGTCAAGGCGACGGCTAGGGGTTGTGGTGGTCGTGGCGGTGTTGGGCGTTTGTGGTGGTCGAGGCGGTGTTGGAGGGCTGCGGTGGTCGGCGGTGTTTGGGGGCTGCAGTGGTCGGCGGTGTTGGGGGCTGCGGTGGTTGGCGACGGTGGGCGGCTGCG